TATAGGGAATTTCTCTCTGGAGTTGAATATTTTCTGAAACACTTAGGTTTTCGTTTTCGTTAAAGTGCCTCCAACTAATGCCCCGAACTTTCTTTTTTTCGGAACATCGGATCCTCTTGCTGTCAAGAAAAGCAAACAGACGGGTTTGTAGCGAATATAGCGATAATTGGACATTGAAAAAAAAAAAAGAACCGAACTCGCGCACAGCAAACGAAAAATTGTTTTACTCACTCAGAGTTGACAAAAACATTATGAAGAAGCCAGCGAACATAGGAATGCTGTATCCGATGCTGAAATTAAAAAAAAAACATATGTAATGAGTAAATTTATCCGGTAAAGAAATGCATTTGGAAAATGCATTCACAAATTAAGGAAAGTGAATTCACCGATTTGTCAGAGGTCCAACGAACGGATTCGCGAGTAGTTGAACGAATGCTTTGGAGGCGAACATGAATCCAACTTCAATGTTCTCTTGAACCGCTTCTTCGTGGGTAGCTCGTTCGTTGGCTTCTAAAATTTGATTGAAAGTATGTTACAAAAAAATATAACATGTGCGAACGACATTGCATTTATCAAGCAAGAGTGTTTAAAAACAAACCACAACCATCAAGCGTTTCTTCTATGAATTATTCAAAGAAGAACAATTGTCTCGTTTGCACCATGTTTCCCACGCTAAATAAAATTCGACCTTAACGCTAAATAAAATTCGACCTTCACGCTAAATGAAATTCTTCAAGCTTTATACAGTATTGTCAGAAATCTCTGATGAGTCCCTAATTTCACGAGCAAAGAATCAGGTTTTTGAACACTGGTTGTTCAACTCATAGCCAGTTTTCTTCCCAATTGAATTCATCTTCAATATTCCATTTCAATAATGAAAAATTGTAATGTCGATTATTCATGAGCATATAAACTGTATTTTCGAAATCAATTTTAATGTAAACTTCTTATAACACCGAGTTATTCCCTCTCGAAAATTGAATAAAATTAATGTCATATTGCATTGGATCTCTTGCATTGAGAATCGATGCCAAAAAGTACTTTATCCTCTATTTTTGTTTGTTTTGTGTTTGGCATTAGTGCTCACAATGTTTTTGCTGAATGAATCAATCATAGTCTTTTTTTTTACTCTTCGCCGCCGATAGATTTTAAATTTTGACTTATACGAATAATTTGTTCCTAAAGGAAATTTTCATTTCTTCAATTTCTGAAAATCAAATTTTCAATAGACTAATATCCCACACCAGTCGAATCATCTCGTGTTTGACTGGATCTCTTGAATTCGGGAAGAAATTTTAAAAAATTGAATAAATTTGAACCCTGTTCTCCCTGTTTTTTGTTTTATTGCTTTGTTTTTTGCTGTGCATCTTATCAATGCGCACATTCTTTACACACAAGTAATTGCAATTGCCATTGCATTCTCAACAGTCGACGGGGTTTGAAAGTTCACGAATTGATGACCAAAAAACATTCATTGTGAAAAGGAATTATTTTTGCAATTGCCTACACTGCTGCATGTATCTTTGTGGAATATACGTATGTGTATATTACGCCATCCACATTTATTTCGTGTTTCATTGAATCTTTTGGATTCGGAGAAATAAAAAAGGCAAAAAGAAAATCGAAAGCTGTTTCATTCTTTTGGCATCTTAGTGCGCACATTCTTTTCCGCACAAAGACTCACCCTCATCATTGTCTCCCTCGCCGTCGACGGAAGTTGACGACGTCGACTCGTTGCCACCCCTGTCGTCATTTAGCGGGACGCACGGGTTCTTGGCCCGGGTCGTTAGTCCCTC